GCAGCAGCAGCAGCAGCAGCATCGCCTCGGACTCAGAGAGCGTGGGAAGTCAAAGTCAGGGTCGTACATGAAGTCGGTCGTCGGCGAGAACAGAAGTCAGTCATGTTGCTCAGGTCGAGCTCGAGGCCGCGAGCTTCGAGACCAGGGGCCGCTAGCTCTCAAGATGTCGAGACGGCATGCCGGGCGTGCCAACTCTAAATGTCATGCACGAACTCACAAATTCACATGGCTCCAGCTGCTTTTCATGCTGCACGAGCCGATCGAACAGCCGAGCAGGTCCGGTCACCTGCATGGGCTGCCACGCCGAGCATCATGGTGGTCGCGCTACTGAGACTAGCAGGCAAAGGGCGGAGGAGGGGACGAAGGCCATTTCTTGGTAGGATCGCAGCCGCGGAGAACGCTTGCCTCGGATGCTCATTCAAAAAGCCGCCGCCGAAAAAAAGTGGCCAACTCCACGGGAATTGCGTTCCGGGCTATGCACTCGGACCTTCCGCGGGCTGCTGCTCGGAGCTCGTCTTGCAACAGCCTTGCCATCCCGGAGATGTTGTGATGCAAGGGCCGAGCCACGCTTCGCCTTCGCAGCAACGATGCAGCGTCGGAGGCTGCACACGCCTTGGATTCACCAACACCGCCAACGCTGAATGCTGGCTGGCTGGTGGGTGCGTGCAGAAGCAGATGCACCGCACAGTTTCAACCCGGATGCTTTCCTCCGGCGGTAACTAGTAAATCGCCGTGGTGGACAGTCCGAAATCAAGTCCGGAGCAACTGCAGCAGCAGCCGCAGCTGACGATGCTGGAAGCAACTGCTTCGTAGTCGATCTGCTCTCACCCCCACTGGAGCAAGAGCAGAACCGAAAACAGCGCGATGCTTTGCCAACCTCAACTTTTTCCAGGTGGTAGCGAATCAGACGACTGTGGCACGAGCATGCAAATCACCTGAGACCCCCTCAGCTGGGCTCGGCGGCTACTTTCCGACACGGAACTCAAATCTTTTCAAATTTAAAATTAATTTTTTAGTTCCCAGGAGAGGCTTGTGTGGCTCCCAGGCTCCGGGACGGGCTGAAGTACCCGCACCCGCGCCCAACTAGCCGCTGCGCTACGCAACAGCCAAGCACTTGGACAGCCAAGTTGCGCTGTAATGCGCCCTGACAAGCCAAGCCAAGACCAGCCAAGCCCATCCCTTCCCATCCCCTTCACATCGGGGGGCCATCACAGGCTTTCTGAGCGAGACGCGGTACCTAGCTCGGCTGGTACCGTGCCCTGCATGATGCGGTGGTCAAGTGCCGACCGCTCGTCGCCCCTCCAAGACAAGGGCCCGTGGCGCGAGCCGTGTCTGCGGTGTGCAAGGAAGCTTGTCACGCATGTACAGCCTCCAGCCCGCTGTCACGCATTCACATCCAGCGACCACATGTGAGCTGAGCTTCGTCAGCCCATGTCCGTTCTTTTTTTTTTCTGCGTGTCTTGCTTGCCCGCCCTCGGCTCTAGAGGTGGATTCGCCTGGCCCGGACCTCATCTCCGCGGGCGTTAGACGCTGCGCCGCCAGTACATGCAGTGCTGATCGTGCTTCTTTGCCTCGTGTCATCGCCTGTGACTGCAGTGGTGCCCTCTGCATCCTTCGCCTTCGCCTTCGGTAGCTCTGCTAGCTAGCTGCAAGCTTCTCACGCGGCCCTTCACCGCCTCTCGTAGGCCTGCACATCTGCGCTGCTCGGACCTCTTCACCAATGGCCCCGGCTAGTTTGGCCTTTTGCAAACGAGCCTGGCCTTGCTTCATGTCCTACATCCACCCGTCACACGGAGGTTTGCATCCGCCGGTCGGAATCTTCAGCATGCCAGCGGACAAGGTTGCCGGCCACAACTGAACCTGCCCACCATCATGACGACTTTCGAGACTCCCGCCTCCGCGGCAGTCGCATCCTCTCCTTCGCCGCGTGGCCTTCAATATAACCACTTACCTCTAGCACACAACGACGAGCCGGCTCCACCGCAGATCCTCTTCCCCACCGTTGCTACCGTCCTCGACAGTCCCACCGCCTCCTCTCCGCCTAGGCCCACCATCTCGCCGTCGTATTCGTCCTCGTCCACATCCTCTTACGCCTCCTCCGACGTGCGCCAAGATCCCTCCACGCCTCGGTCCAGCCACACCGCCGTCAGCAACAGAGGCTTCCGCTTGCCTCGCTTCTCCTTGTGGGGCCGCAGGACTCCAGAGAGCCTGCTCATCGACAACAATAAAGCCAGCCCACAGCAGTCGTCTCATGCCGACGTCGATCTCGACAAGCTCCACATTCAAGAGCAAACCTGCTTGACGCCCACGTGGAACGTCGATTCCTTGCTAGAGGATCGAGCTGCTCACACTCCGGAGCTCAGCCTGCCACCCGCCCCACTCGCCTCATCAGCCTCGCCCATGCCAGCCCTCACAGCTCACGCCCCGGCCGAGCCACCATCCATGTCTACGCCAAAATCCGGCTCGGTCTGGCGTCTTCGTGGCGGCCTCTTCGCAGGCTCTACCTCCAGCGCATCCAAGGACTCCCCCAACAGGATTCCTTCCACCTCGGCGAATCAGGCGCAATCTCAGGACATTTCCGTGCCTACACCACCCTCGCAATTTGCCGCTTGGTCAGAGCTCCTCCACGGGCCTTGCCAACCCCATCGCTCCGCCACCTTCAGCAGCATCTCCTCCGCATCATGCAGCAGCAGCTCGCGACCAAATGTCAGGAAAATGCGCAGCCAGGAGAGCATCCGATCAGTGCTTTCGGCTCGTGCATCCGAGCCCGACCTTGAGCATTCCTACAGCAGCCTTCCAACCCCCAAGCTGGTCAAGACAAAGCTGCGCTCCAAGTCCAAAAGCAGCAAAGAGCTCGACTTTGACAAGGTATTCCTCGCTCAGGAGCTTTACTCAGCCGTTTCGCCTAGCCTGCTCGGAGGCACGTCCAACGGCCGTGGCTCCGAGTCATTGAGCCCCTCGTGTGCTCAACAGGAGTTCCTCGCTCAGCCGGGCCAGGACAGCGTGTCCAGACGAAGGAGCTGGGCACCTCGTCGTTCCACCTCACCGCGAGCTGCTGCCGCCCGTTTGTCTGCAGAAATGCTGGCTGCTCCTCAACCCCGTCGCAGTGCTTCCCAGGCGGCTCCGATGCAGTCGCAGATCGGCGATCACCAAGAGCAAGACGAATACTATCCGCACGGCCGCAAGGTCGCTCGTCAGCTCAGCACCAGCAGCTACATCACCTCCGCCTCGTCCGGCACTACCGCCTCATCTGCCAACACGGACCACAACGACGTAGCTGACGGTCAGATGCCCAAGTCTCCCACGCCGTCCGCCGTCAGCGCCTTCGGCGACCTGGAAGTGCCGGAGGAGGGTAAAACAAAGAAGGCCAAGACTCCGGCGCGCAGGTTTTATGCGCTTCAGTTCTCCCTCGACGGTCGATATCTAGCCGCGGCAGGCTCCGACCAACGCATCCGTGTCTACGAGGTGGTCAGCTCGCCAGCCGAGCGTTCCGAAGAGATTGAGCTCGCGCAGCTATCGCGCCAGGAAGATGTCTGCCACAGAAAGCTTTCGTCCGCATGCTCCCAGAATGGCAACCCGTCAAGTCGAGCCCAGCCAAAGAGCGACGGCAGCGCTGCTACCCCGGAATTCGCTCCCGTCTTCAAGTCGACACCTGTGCGCGTCTTTGCTGGCCATGTCGGCGATGTGATGGACCTCTCCTGGAGCAAGAACAACTTCCTGCTGAGCTGCAGCAGCGACAAGACCGCCAAACTGTGGCATCCCAACCGAGCCGAGTGCCTCTGCACCTTTTCCACGGCGGCCATTGTCTCGTCGGTCGACTTTCATCCGCGCGATGACCGTTTTTTTGTCACTGGAGGACTAGACGGCAAGTTGCGGTTGTGGAACATCGCTGCACGTCGTGTGCAGGCGATTCACGACGTGCCCGGCGTCATCACTGCCGTTGCCTTCTCATCGAGTGGTGAGGCAGTATGTGTCGGGACGCACGCCGGATCGCTGCTCACCTTTGCGTGCTCAGACACACTCAGCCTGCTCAACACGGTCTCGGTCAGGTCGCTGACTGCCAGCAAGAACACGCAGGCGAGTAAGATCACCAGCATTCAGCCGATCAAGTTGTCCGACTCCATCAGTGGGACCGGCACCGACGGCGCGCAAGATGGCAAGGGGCCACACCCGGCGTCCAAGGGCGAGTTCATGACGGTGACGTCCAACGACTCGCGCGTGCGCATCTACTCGATCGGCGCGCGCCGGCTCATCTCGCGCTTCAAGTCGACGAGCTACCTGAACCGCAGCAGTCAGATCCGTGCCACAGCGTCATCTGATTCGCAATTCCTCGTCTCTGGTAGCGAGGACGCCTCGATTCATGTGTGGAGTCTGGCCACCAACGCTACCCTGCTCGCCTCGCTGCTGCCGGCATCGCTTCTGGGCATGAAGCGGAACAAGTCGAACAAGGCGGTCAAGGGCGCACCCGATGCGGGCGACAACTCGACGTGGCGCTCGTGGAGTGCGGCAAGTTCGGGGAGCATCCGCTGCGCCGTCTTTGCACCCGCAGCTACCTCTGAGCTGCTCGCCCTCGCCCAAGACCCGCTCACTTCCAGTGCGGGCCCGCAGACATTTCAGTCGCGCATCATCGTGTCCACCGACGACTCGGCTGGCCTCAAGGTTTGGCGCACGGATCCACACGGCCGCCTCATCTGAACTTGACTCTGCCCACCCCGCCACCTTCATTGATACCCCACGCACATCCATCTCTCGGCCTCCACCCTTTTGCTCTGTCTCGGCGCTCTCTCGGCCACCTTCCACTCAGCTACTGTCTCATCTCTTTTGCAACTTTATTGTCACCGCAGTCACCTCAGTCCTTTTGCTGTTCCGTTATCGTTCTCTGGTCACCTCTAGCTATTCACTCCACCCTTTTTTCCGGTCACGCTATGCGAATGCAATGCTGCCACATCCAAATCATGGTGGGCTTGAGACTTTGGATTGCAATTTGAGTTTGTGGTGGGAGGCTAGTCTTCGTCCTCGAAGGGGTTGCTGACGTATTCGAGGTCGTCCGAGTCGTTTGCGTCATCGTGATCGTGGTGGGTGTGTGCGCTGCCTACAGAGGTGGCACCTGCTGCGGTGGCGGCTACTGCACCCACTGCGGCACCTGTGGCTGCTGCGGGAACGGACGCATCGGCAGGACGCGGCGTCGTAAGACCACGACCTTGCGCCGAGTCCATGAGCGCGACCGAGTCCTTGCTCTTCGGCTCGGCCGATGTTGCGTTGGCAGTGTTGTCCTTGATCGAGATGGGTGTGCGACCTGCCTGGTCCCAGCCTGCAAACTCAGCCTCGGACGACGAAGCGCCTGTGCCTGCGGCCTGTGTGGTGGAAGCTCCGCCTCGACCGGCACCTTTGATGCCCAGTCCGTAGCGTTCGGCAAGGGCCCGTGCCTTGCCGGCTGCTGACTTTTCGCTGGCCCCGCCTGCAGCGCCTGCACCTCCACCTCGGGAGATGATCTTGGCCAGCTCGTTGTCCGAAACTGGCGATGGATCCTGGTCATATTCGCTTGCGTGAGGCGAGCGGGGCGAGGTGAAGCCCGCACGCGCGGGTGCAGCGGTTGTCGATGTGGCATTCTCTTGGGACGCACCTCCGCCTCCTCTGCCTGCACCTGCCCTAAAGTTCTGGAAAGCTTGGGCGAATCCCGCTCCGGTGCTGCCGCTACCACCAGGAGCTGCTCCTGCCTGGCTGCCTTGCGCGCTACCGTCCTGCGGATTGTTGAAGGCCGCACTAGCCTTCTCGCGCAACGACGAAAAGGTCGAGGCTGCACGAGCCAGGCCGGTTTCTGCCATCCGATTGATCTCTTCCTGCCACTGCTTGGCTTCCTTGGCGCCAGGCATTCCTGGAATCACGCTCTCGCCATCTGCGTACGAGGGAGACGAGGCCGGAGGATGGTTCGGTGGTGCATACGCCGTTCTCGCGGGAGCTGGGGCTGCAGCCCTCCTGACACGCGGCTGGTAGGTCAACGCGTTGGGATCGTACGATGGCGTAGATGGTGCGGATGCCTCTCTTGAGTCGGAGCCCAGCAGACCGCCGAAGAACGATCCAGCACCGCCGCCGCCCCGGCCCGCCGTCTGGCTGATGCGCTGCTGCTGTTGGCGTGCTAGCAGCTCGTGGTGCCTCTGCTCCTCCTCCATGGCGATCGTCTGTGCGAGCAGGGCATCGGAATCCGTGCGTGTGTCGGTGGTCGAGGGCTTGAAGCTGGGATCGGACATCTGGAGCAGAGCGTTGACTGCCGCCTCTTGGTCGCCGCCGCGAGAGGACAGGACGGCAGCGATCGTGTCGGTGTCGAGGTCGGGGAACATCGCCTTGAGCTCAGCCACCGCCGGCGGCATGTCGGCCGACGTGGTCCGAGCTGGCGCTTGAACGGGGGACATGGCTCGGGGTGAAGACGGCGACAGCGTCGCGGGCGAAGAGGCTTTATGGGCATTAGGAGTTGTTGCAGACGGAGTCGTCGAGGCTCGAGCATCGGCAGCGGGCTGAGCCAATGTGTCGGAGTTCTTCTGTAGAGTCTCGGCGGGCAGGTCGGAGGCCGCTTCGCCATCGCCCAGAGCATTCTCGAGCGACTTGAGGTCGATCTCGCCCTTCTGCAGAGGTTCCGACATGATCGCTACGACTGTCCTTTCGGCAGAACGAGAGAGGAGGAATGCTCGAGACGCGCAGTAGTTGTCGGTATCGACGACGTTGGCAGGTTGGAACTATGCAAAAACCCGAGTTGCTCTGAATCTTAAACCAGAGTGCAGATGGTGGTATGGTATGGTCGAGGCCGCGATGCAGCTTAGCCAGTGAGCATACGGTTATCCGTGAAACGGGATTGAACTTGCCTGCGTGTGGCGGTGTGAGATGCGGTGCTGGCTCGTGCTCAGTCGAAAGTTGCATCGTGCGACCACAGGATTAGTGTTACATCGTTCCCTAATCCCATGCAACGAGATCGTGCGCGGCAACTCGGAGGAGCATCAAAGCCGTGGTTTGAGCTGAGGACCGAAGGATGCAAGGGTCTGCCGACATCCCCGGGAACGTTGTGGTTAAGCAGAAGTCGCGACCTTATCGTAACAACTTCCGTCTTCATCAGCCTTCTGCATCGGCCGTCGCCGTGATCGGATGCGTCGCATTCGACTGCAACCCTAGTCGCCACTCGACACCAGTCTTCGACACGAGTCGTCGACCCAGCCAAGGCTCGCTACACACGGCGCTGTTCTCAGTTGCGCTGCAGCCGAGCATCCGGATCCGCCCTTCTTTGCATCGGCTTCGTAGGCAATTTGCGCGAGAAGAGGGGCGACAACGTTCAACACCAACATCAAGCTTTCGGCTTTTCTGAGCTCATCTGTACTTCGAGGTCGGCAGCTGAAGCCTCGCCAGTGTGGCTTGTCCCGTCCCAGCCGGCGCAGCACATCGCTTCATCCGCTTGCTGCAACCGCGCATCCTGCATTGCGATTCGCGCACTTCATCCTCATCCGCCCTCATCCTCGCCCTCGCCCGCACCGACGCCGCTCCACTCGCTGATCCCGTCTGGCTCGTACACCGCTCGTCTCCGACGCCTCGCTGCGGAATGAGGCTCGCACCGTGACGCTCAAATATCAATCGCCTGCCCCTTCTTTGGCACAACATCATAGCCGGGCCGCTCCACACTCAGGCTCCCTCCGCCACTCCTTAACACGTGCCACCACCTGAGATCGACGTCTCACGCCTACCCGGGTCCGAGCATCGCTCTCGATTACGCCATGGCTGCCTCGGATTCCCACGCCAACGGCGAGTCGTCCCGGACCACCACCGATGTCACCGCCGCAGCAAGTGTCCCATCATCAAAGCCATCTAAGCGAAAGGCGGAAAAGATGCAGACTTCGCCCTCGGCAGCCGACCTTGCCGATTCGAACGGTGTCAAGCCGCTGGCTCGCGCGGTTCTCGTCTGCAAGAGATGCCGCTCCAAGAAGATCAAGTGCGACCAGGCCTTTCCCGCTTGCGGATCGTGTGTCAAGGCTGGCGAACCCTGCGTAGGCATCGACTCCGCCACCGGTCGCGAAGTCAGTCGCAGCTACATCGTCGATCTCGAGCACCAGATCACGCAACTGCGCGCACAGAATGCAGAGCTCGAGCGACTTCTTGCTGAACGCCCATCGTCTGGACCCCTCGAACCTGGCGCACTCGGCATGAAGCGCCCACTGCAACACGTCGAGGACGAGTTCCCCCTCGCAGCATCCGAGAAGTCTACCTCTCCTGATGCGCGCCCTCTCAAGCGCTTGGCAGCCTCGCCCGAAAGCGACAGAAAGCCCGATCCGGCCCGTCCATTCTTGCCCGGCCTCGTGCTCGGTCCAGCGGGCGTGGAAGTGGTGCCGTCCGATGCAGACGGGCATACGACAAGCGGAGCGCGGCCCTCCATGGGTCGTCTCAACTCGCATGCCAGTGGTCTTTCGCCAGCGCGTTTGCTGTGTCAGGCCATCCAGCAATCTGCACAGGCAGGGCTCCATGTTCGCGATCCTGGATCTGCCGCACGGATCCGCAGGTCCGGAACGCAGCGCCTGGGAGATGAGCTCAACCGAAGGGCAACAACCCTCTCATCCCAAGATCCATCCAAGCTCCTCAGCGAATCGCGCGAGGCGCAAGACGGTGGTGCCAAGGCCGAAGCCAGGCTGGGCTCGCCGCAGAGCGGATCTGCCACTCCTTCCGACACCAAGAAGAACTCGCCCTTCGACGACGGTGATCCGATGCAGTACGCCACCGCCACCGAAACGGCCGATATCACGGTCCCTGCTCCTGAACAAGCTCTCAAGCCGTCGCCACTTCCAGCTCCCTTCCCGCCCTTGTCGATAGCCAGGAAGCTCATCGATGCCTACTTTGAGCGCGTCAATCCTCAGTTGCCCATCCTCGATCGATCTTCATTCATGACGCGATTCGAGAAAGCTTGCAAGCTCGGTCTCGAGCGTGCTAGAGCAAAGCTGTCGGCCCACGAACGCGGCACGCAGGAGGATGACGATGATAAGCTTGCGATAGAGCTGCAGCCAGCCGATGGCCATCTCTTCCACCTAGTGTTTGCTATCGCGGCTGCAATGGGCTGGACGCGCTCCAGCTGGAGTGCCGAGAATCACCACGAAGCCGCCATGCGCTTCCTCGACCCCAGGCGCTTGGCGACGCCCAACCAGGAGGGCAACGTCGGCGCCATCATGGGCCGAGATGCTCTCGAACAGCTTCAGTGCCTGTTGCTCACGGCTCTCTACTCGATCATGCGGCCCATGAAGCCAGGCGTATGGTACTGCCTCGGCGTAGCTTTGCGGCTCACCACGGGCATCGGACTCTATACGGAAACGCCGGGCGTGCTCGAGGCATCAGCGAGCGCCTCGCAAGTTGTGGGCGAGACGCTGGCGGAGAGGAAACGCCGGCTTTTCTGGTGCTCGTACGCACTGGATCGTCAGGTCTGTGTCCACCTCGGCCGGCCCTTTGGCATCGCTGACTCAGACATCAAGGTCAACCTGCCATGGGTCGACAGCGCTGGAGACATGATCCAAGTCGCGATCGAGCATCAAGGCTCGGACGTGCGACAAGCAGGTTCGGCCGAGAACGATGGAGACTCTTCGATCGAGATGGCCCGTCGTGAAGCTGCCTCTACTCTGGCAGCGCTGCAATCCAGCACAAGCGAGCAGCACGACTCGAACCGACAAGTCGCGCCCGTGTCGCTGCCCAAGCCAAAGGACGCAAGCCGATGGGTGTCTCTGTCGTTCTTCCGCATGCGCATCCTGCAGTCCGAGATCCAGTCGATCCTCTATCAAAACGCAGAGCTGCCTCGCCGCTTCAGTAGCTATGGACACTGGAAGAACGACGTTTTGCAGAGGCTGCACGCATGGAGACGCTATGCGCCTTCTTCCAAGGCTGAGCTCGAGGCCAACGGTTGCGGCTACAATCCCATCTTCCTCGAGCTCAACTACCAGCAGACGCTGCTGATGGTGTATGGACTCAGTCCACGATTCCCCAACGCGTCTCGCAAGGACCTTGCAAGCGTCGAAGAGTGCAGCCGCAGCATCATCAACATGTACGCGACGCTCTCGAAGGAAGGTCAAATGAACTACACCTGGATGACAGGCCACAACGTATTCATCGCCTGCACGAGCTACTTGTACGCGATTTGGCAGATCAGCGCCACCGATCCGGCCTCGTTCCGCTCCAGTGTCACGCTTGGCTTCCGCAACAAGGTGGACGAGATTCACCACTTCGCCGCTGCTTGCGATAAGGTCCTCTCTTCGCTCCAATGGGCGACGGCGGAAAAGTGCCGCAAATGCCTGCGTACAATGTTCTACGCTACCTCCGTAGTAGTGGAGAAGATCGACCGCGCGGCGCCGGCTGCAGCTGATGGTGGATCGCGCAAGAAGACTTCGCACGACCGACCTGCTGACCGTAGCACTCAACGAAGCAAGTCTGGCGCAAACGTGATCAAGAAACCCCATTTTGCATCTCCAGGACGAGAAAGCAGCTCGCTGCATGCTTCGGCTTCCCCGCAACGTTATCCTCAAGGCACATCGCCGGGCCCTTGGTCTTTGTATGCGCAGGACCGGGACTGGCGCCAGCCGCCATCGGATGGAGCGAGCGAATCTGGACCGGCTCAGCCTCATCCAGAGGCATCGGCGCATCCGTCACGGTGGAATCAGCGCCCGGGCGCGGTACGCTCTCCGCAGCAACAGTCCACCGCTCCTTGGCCGGCAGCCGAGCTCGGACACGACCGCTTGGCGACATCACATGATCCGTACGCCAGCAGCAGCGGGACGACGCCCAGCCGTGGGCTCGACACGGGTGGTGGCGCCACCGACGCATCGAGTATGAGCCATGCATGGTACGAAGCGGGACCCGGAACGAGCCCTAGGGTCATGTTCCCGGACAGCCCGTCCAACTTTGACATCTCGTCGCTCATGGCCACGTCTGCGATGGAGCTCGATGCGCTATTCCGGGAAGCAGGTCTTTCTGCTGGCCCGTCTGGTGATCAACGTGGATGGGAGACCAGCACGCCGGCGATGCAGCACAGCGCCTTGGGTCCAGCACCGCCGCTGCACGGAGCAGCCGGTGGAAGGGAGCAAAGTGCGCCGCACTACGTGCAGGGAGAAGCGCTCAGCTTCTACGAGTCGGTCGGTGGCAGCGTTGAAGGTGCGGATGCAAGCAAATGGGGCTTTCCGGCGGGTTCGGGACCAGGCATCAACGTCGAGCATCGAATGGCAGAAGACATGGGCCAGGGCGAAGCATTCGAGTCGGACTGGGAGGCTCTGGGGTTCGGATACCGCATAGCGGCGCCTACCGCATACAACGCGTTTGCAGAACCGGTGTCAGATGCGCAGCAGCGCGGATTCACGAGCATGCGAGGCGATGTGCAGTCCACTGGTGCTGCTACGGCTGCGTCCGCTGGCAACCCTGCAACCGGCAACTTGGCCACGACCGAGTTCGACCACCGCTTTCTCGATTCGCACATGGGCTTCTGATGCTCTGCGACGTAGCAATATGATGTACTGTGTTGCGAAAAGCGGGATGGAAGTGAAGCTGGTATCTGTTGCCGATCGCAGCGAATGCGTTTCGGACATGGAAGGGCCCGTGTGAGCAAGTCGAAAATAGAGCAGATATCGGAGATGGACGGGATCGCGGCCAGTTTTGTGCGGTTTTGCCAAGCGAGGCTGCACGCCAAGGCCTCGATCCTGAACAAGGTGATGGCATCCCCCCACGTTGAAGGTGGACGCGAGCTCGGATAGATGTGGTTGTGTCGGGAATCTGTGGGGAAAGCCTGCAGCGGCAGAGGACGGCGTAGAACGGGGGGCGGACAATGAAAGAGCGGAAAAGCTAGATGAGGCTGAGTGTCAAACGGAGCTCTCCGATTGGCCACGACCACCGCCTTGTGATCTTCATGCAGCCAGGCATGGCATTGACCGAGTGCGACCCTGCGGCCCCTGCGCTTCACTTGCCCGGTGCTTCTGCATGAAGTCTCGACAGTAGCTGCATTCGGTCCAGACTGTTCCGAACGATGTTTCCGACGGGTAAGGTCCTATCCTCCCTCGGCCGCTAATGTACCTGCTCTAGATCGCAAATGCGCACAGGCTCGGAGTGGTCCGCATCGCGTGTCCAATGAATGAGCACGAGCCACAATAGAGGATGCCCGATGAGCTTGCGTGGAGGCATCTGCGCACAGGAGCATTCACTACAGCGCATCGAACGGATCCGCTGACGAAGAGCTGGCATTCGGTGCGCTCCATCTCCC